CTGCTAGGCCAGTGGACCGGGGGACCAAGTTACTAAAGCAGAGGAACTAGCGGTTCTGCTGGGCATTCAGTTGTGCAACATGTGATCGACAGCCTTCTCACATGCTATGCGATCCCTACAACTGCTTGTTTAGGTAATGTCTAGTAAGGCTGAGGTCACCATGTACTGCTCAAAGCAGTACTGCAAGGATCCACTGCCACTTGATTGCCTTGAAAACGTACGGGGATTGTGAGGTAATTGCCAGAATGTGTAGCTCAACCGGCATGGCACCTACAGTGAGAATAAACTCCGTTGCGGAGACGCGGTTGCAACGCTTGTAAGAGAATCCCAGGTTGCGGATGCAATCGCACAGCCCGGTGAATCATTGAAGGTGCCTCAAACGCAACCTGTTGGAGCCGCTAAATGGACGGCGCCGTTCGTGCAACAATTGACGGAGGTACCGCTTGCTTCCAGGTTGTCCACGGGGACGTACTACCGACATCTGCACAGTACCTCATCGGCGGTGTGCAGAACTCAGAGCAAAAGGTCGAAGCTGAAGAACGAGCTTTCCCATCCCAATTACAACGACGTGTGCACCCTGTGATTCCAGGAGGAGGAGGATGGCCTTCACGAACGAGCGGGCCTGGATTGCGTGCTGTGTGGTGTTTGCAAAGCGTGTTACCGCGCCTCATGTGCTTGCTACCTGGGAACGGAAAGCTTTGCATGTGCGCATGGTAACAGGCAATGAACCCGAGCAACAACCAAGCAAAGCATTTCAGCTATAGCACCCAATGCAGGTAAGCATGCTGTGTTACGAATCCCTGGTTTTTGCGGGTTCTTGCATAGTTCGTAGCCATCGCTGCTGTGTTCCAATGCAGCAGATAGGACGACTCACCATGGTCAGGCGGTACATCCGTTGACGAACAATTGTCAATACCGGTGGCCATGTAACAGCAGTCCATGGTGCTTGTGTACATAATCGTTGCAATTGTCTTCACATGTTACCATACGCATGGTTGACTTCTTCTCCACTTCCTTATGTGTACACTTCGTATGCCTATTGATGACACCCGTTTGCTTCGGCGTGGATCCATACTGGCTTGCCCCGATACCATGGTACGCTGTCGATTCCCGTTGCGTTTGCCTTCCTTATCCATTCTTCCCTTTCGTTTTTGCAAGCCCATGAAGAGGCACTTCATACCGAACTGTCGATCCGTTGTCATAATGACACTAAGTTGCTGAGGAATAGGATCTCTGCCGCCATGCAGAAACGGAGGGGAGCCGCTTATGGCACTATCAACCGGCACCGCACAAGTGGCTAGATATCCTAGAGGTCAGTGAATGTGTTTCGATGCATAAAAGACCTTCCGCCTGGCTCAGAGCACAATGTAACTAGGCAGACTATTAGGCGCGAACTACAGTGGAGCCGGCAGGCTGACAAGGAAGTCTGGTAGGCTAGTGGAGCTCCAGAAATTGAGTAAGCGGGAGCAGTACGCAATTACCCGAAGCTCTTCCAGCTAATCCGCAACACTGGTCCCAGGCAACCAGGTGTCAGCGAGATAAGCAGCCAGAGCTCCTTTGCTCAGATTCGCAATAAAATGCGCCGCATCCCTCTTCGGCTTGAGCGTCTTTATGTTTCCGTTGGCCATCTGCTGTTGGACTTCTTCCTACCTAGGTTTACTTCTCTATGTTGAAGTCACTGCTGCACCTGCATTCGCGCACCAGGTAGTACAAGTGGATCCCGGTATAAACTAGTGGTTCCGGCTGTAAAGCGAATCGCTCAGCTGCTATGCTTCAAGTCCTTGATCATCGTTATCTGCAAAACATTGCTGGTGTCTGATGACACCACCTTGCCACCCGCAACGATGAAGTTCGTAGGCGAGTACCAGGTAGTTTGCATCATGCTAGCAGACCTAGAACAACAGATAGCACGAAATAAGTTGCGTTGGCTTTCCATCATTTGCTTCGCCCCAGCCGCATCACTATTACCAGTTATCCTGCAGCTCCGCGTAAGTGGGTCGAACTTGGTAAACGCTTATTTTGCGATACTTGAGCAGGCGCACAAATGTGCTGATAGTCTTTGGAGTGCATCTCTCATCTGCCCTTATTAGAGTCCAACTGCACCCATCGGTGTTATTCTACGCAATTCTACTCTTTTAATCCCATAATCACTTGCTTACATGTGCGCTGTTTATCAATAAGACCTCAACCCTACCTTCAACTCCCGCCATTAGTCCTTTACCACTTAGCGCTGTCCCATTCGTTTCAACCATGGAGCAAAGAAGAAGGTTACTAATAACTACATTACAGATCTGGCTACTAGGGAACCCCACTAGCCCTAATCGTCGCAGTAGAGGTTGACATTGCAAAGACGCAGTTATTGGAAGCATACAAAGTTCCAACTTAAGTTACTACGAAGCATGGACAAAACTAGTTTGCTACAAGTTTGAGTCAAATGTAATACTATATGCACTGTCAGTTGAGTCACGGTCTCCTAACAAGGAGAGTTTGCACTCCAAGTTAGCTTTTTGGCCCCATTGCTCAGCTTTGACCTCAGTCGTACATACGCCAATCACTATTGGAAGCACTAGTAGACTGGCAGCATGATGAACCAGATCCTTGTTGATCGCCATTCACGCCACCCTAGCATTCAACATTTCATGTTCTGTGTCACTGGCACGAAAGCCAGCCATGTGCCAGGGACCACCGTCACACCGGCTAGCTGGAACTGCAGCCATTTCAAGCCACTTCTTGCCTTATCTTGGTTATCCTTTCAAAATTTATCCTTCAACTGACTCCATTGCCCACCCTGTGTCATGCGTACAGGTGGGTGGAAAACCAGCTCCTGTTTCCTGCGCACTTTGCTGCTTATGACTTATACTATTATTCATTTCTGCTGTCCGGCGAACTAGAATAGCTCTCACCAGAACATACACCAACTTGATAGCTTGTGTGACGTGGAAGCAACAATGGCACCCATCCTAACCTCCTAACCTGGAGCCAGCAAATGCATAGGGAGCCAATAATTGCACGGTAGAGCGTCCCAATACATGGGGCGCAATAATGCTTCAGTCTGGAACACCCCAACTAGAGAAACCAAAGTTCTTGGGACCCATCCGTGCAGGCTCTAGCTGATTACACGTTTAGAAGCGTTTTGCTTATTTTTTGAATGCTCATTTCTTTATTCTTCATGATGAAGTGGCTTATTGACAGTGAGATTCCATGTATGGGGCTGCCTAAGTTGAGCTAAAGGTGATACCTCATGCGGAATTTGTCTAATAAATTGATGGGCTTACAGGCTCATTCGAGTCGAAGGGACACTGAACGGTCTTGGCTTATCCATGTAGACCAGACTCATTTAGTCTCGGGACAACATTCACAACAGCTTGGCTTCTTTGACAAACTGGTGTCTAAAAAAGACACACAGAGGTCCGTTGCCCATGGTCTAATTACAAAGAGTAGCGTGATTTCGTCGAGACAAAACAGTCTATAGTGGCTTCCGAACATTTCCGTGTATATATTTTACATAGTCGTCAAGTTTTATTAATTACGCTTGCAAAGTGTGCTTTGCGGCTATTGCATCGTACATCGTAGGTACTGCTCTTGTGAAGCTATATTGTACAGCCTCATTAAGGCCCCATAGCAACGAGCCGCTTTGTAAAGTTTTTCTTTTTTCCACCAAAAATGCTTGAAAGGTTATACGGCACTGGTAGCAAGATTTTTGGCTACGGTATTGGCAGACGCTCCAGAACTCGGGAATTACTGTACGTATCACAATACTTCCGCTTTTGTCGCGTACAGTAATCAAGCAATTTTCGGTCTAAGGCATGTGCTTTTTATTTTTAGCAATATTTTAATTCTGGTTGCGCTTAAAACCATTTGCGTTTGGCGTTCGGGATCTCCGTTAATCAGATATATTTCCTAAATACTAGGTTTATGACTTCAAGCTTATTACTCCGAAATCTTCTCCGCTTCAAAAGATATCTATTTTAAATTATGTTGTTATTGTTACTGGGAACAATTACGAAGCTCTTTTTATGAAATTTCTGAAGCCATCGCCTTTCTCTCTTTCCATGAAGCCACCATTTATCGGGACTCGTACTTTACCGAAATTGGCTACTGGAACTGGAAGTAATATATGAGTGACGGCTCTTACTGCCTTGACGCACGGTGAATAGAAGGTGCAGGAACGGGCTCTTGTGAAAAGGAGCGCAGCCGATAAGATTGAGTAGCAGGATGATGGACCGTGGAATCCAACTTTTGTATAAAGGAGCGCGTTGCATCCTGTTCATAATTTCCAGACAGCCAAAGCAAGCGCCTATCAGACTTCTACATTTCATAAAAGCCATTACTGCGTGCTTGTGCACTACTCGCGCATAAGAAATACATATACTTAGCTCCATTAATACTCATGTAGGCGCATGTGAATACTATACATAATGATCTGACTCCACGATGGCACAGCCCCTAGCCAACTCTGGTACTATAACTTTTTTATGTATTTGTTTTACGGGAAGATGGCCATCGGCCGATTCATAACCCCCCGAAGAGGATGGACTAGGATACTGGCAGGGCGCGCACAAGTGATGTTTGTACGACTCGAGTCCTCATCCGAAGACTTGAGTTAAAGGTTCACCAGAAAGGCAGCGTGCCTAGCAAATGGTCAGTTCACTGACTCCTGCGGATTGGTGTCCTAGATTTTAGCGGGGAGAAGGGCGTAACCAAATGCCCAACCAGCGGTCGCCACGAGCAGGCGTCCAGGACATAAGCCAGGAACAGCAGTAGCAGCAGTGAGTAGATCATTTGGCAGGATCCAGCCACCACCAGCCTCAGCGCACCTTAAGCTCTCCCGATATATATATATATATATATATATATATATATATATATATATATCGGCAATGTTCCAGGACGTGGTGGGTCTTCGAATAGCAAGTGTTTTCCCTACAAAAAGCCACAAATGTCTGTTTAACAACACTGCGAATTGGCGGAAATGACCCGCAACTCAACCTATACGGTTCTCTGCCGTGTATAGTAGTGCATGGCCACCGCCATGCTTTATGGCAAACGGGTGTTCGAGTGTGCGTTTCATCGTCTCTTACCTTTCTTCAAATGAGTGGCTTGCAGTACAAACCAACGCTTGGTACAGCCACCATGTCGTCGGAACCCGTTGTTCGGACTGAATGGGCCAGTTTTATATGCGGTGGCATCGCTGGCGCAGTCTCACGCACAATGACTGCACCCATAGACCGAGTAAAGGTGCTACGGCAAATGGAAGTCCCCGAAATGATGGGTAAAAATTTTGTACAAAGTTGGTATCTCATGTATAAGGAAGGTGGATTTACCTCTTTGTGGCGCGGAAACGGGGTGAATGTTCTCAAGAACTGCCCCGAGAGTGCCATCCGATTCGGACTACATGGATATCTCAAGACTTTACTGTTTCCTGAATCAAATGTCAACATCAATCTCGAACAACGCTTGCTTGTGGCTAGTCTAGCGGGTGCCGCCTCTCTCACGTGTACCTATCCGGTCGAGATACTGAAAACTCGAATGGCTCTTCGTCGATCTACAGACCCCAAGTCCATCGCCTCTTGTGTCAGGCAGATCTACGGACAAGGGGGCTTGTGCGGCTTCTACCGCGGCTACAAGATCAGCAGGCTCAGCTACGTGCCTTATTCGGCATGGAGTTGGCCATCTACGAGGTCTTCAAACGCCAATATCTACTCTACTGTTCTACTCCAAACAACCACATTCCCCCATTGGTCACAATTGCTCTAGTCACTCTCTCGTGCTCTATTCCCATCTGTATAGTCTACCCGGCCAACTTACTCCGAACACGTTTCCAAACCTCACCATCCCCTCGAGCTGCTCCCGTTTTTGCCACCATCAAGTCGATTTGCGCTCAGTCAGGACCCAGGGGTTTGTATAAAAGGATGGGCGCCAGTCTCTCCAAAACCCTTCCCTCAGTCTGCATTACCGATGTGGTGTTTGAATTTACTTCCGAACTACTTTGCGTACCTGGACTCGGCTCGAGGTAGCAATGTGAGGCCCTCGTGATTCCATGTATTTACTCCGGTATACCATTCAACAATTAACTTACCATTTCTATTGGTCGTTCAGAGAATCTATACTACGCCTACCGTTTTTAAGAGCCCTTTTTTCCGCTGTTTGATTCAGTTTTCTGGTAGTGAAGTAACTTTCTTGTATCTTTATACGACAGCACGTAACCCACCTTTCCATGGCCGATTTTGTCCCCTTTTAGATTCACCATTTATACATAGATTGCTTTGACCTCCAAAAAAGCTTGCTCTTCAATTATCTTCCAATGGATCACTCGGGATTCTCAATCTATTATTAGTCGAGGTATGACTGCGATAAATGGCAGAGTGATTATGTCCAAACAAATGGATCCCGATCCCACTACAACCAAATCGTTGTTTCGCATGTTCACCATTGCACAGTTCCAAGCATGGACATATGAACAATTTTCTACTGTCACTACAGTTCCCATAAAATGTCTGTACAGCTGTACATACCTGATCATGCCTCAATTGGCGTGCCTCGCATAGTCCAGAACAAAATATTTATTTATTTATTTAATTAACTCACCGCACCAATCTCACGTTGGCAAGTTGACCGACACTACATTTACAATTTTGTGCATAGATCTGATCCCGTACGAACACTCCTACATATTTGATCATTTACATGCCACTATCCTTAAGTTTTCCTGCAGCTGTTTCCTCATGCATCACACACTTGACCCGCAGTGTGTACACAACCGCATCGGTCTAGTCCCTCATCAACATACTCCACATTTGTGATATGCTTTCTTATCTCTACTTCTCGCATTCTGTGGTCATATACTTCGTGCAGCCTTTGGGCCGCATGGGCCCACACTACTGACTCCATGTGTAGTACTCCCGCTCCCGGTGCTTCTAATCATGATATCATATACAATATTGCATATATGCTGATCCTGCCCAAAAGGTGTGCCTCCTTTTGTGAAGAATTATATATATATATATATATATATATATATATATATATATATAGAGAGAGAGAGAGAGAGAGAGAGAGAGAGAGAATGAGACATCCGGCTTTGGCTTTGCCTCTCACGGTGACCAGCCACAGGACGCCTGCGCCTAGGGAGTGACCATGAGTGGCTAGCACTGCATGACACACCCATATCCAGTGCAAACCCGAAGGAGTAAGACCGGGATGCAGGTGGTTGTAGCCACGTTTCATCAACGAAGCAGGCCCACGCCCCTTCACAGTCAAACGCAATTACGCTGTACTTGTGGACAAACTGCCCACGTGGCGGTGGCTGGACCGTGGCCCGCTTCACACTGAGTTCAGGAACCACTAATAGATCCTAACACGACCAGAGGGACCGTGCACACCGACCCATCCAACAACGACCAGCTGTCTGCTAGTGCCATCATGGACGAGGTGGTGGGTAACAGGCAGGTAGGCACCTTGTCAACATGCACATCACGTGCAGCCACACTGTGTGTATCAAGCACCCGCCAACCACTAGAAACAAAAAGGTGAAATGAACGAAATCGCATAATGCATCCAGGTAGGTGCATAAAATAGTTGTATAAGTAGGTGTATATAATAACTTGATTACGAATGGTTCCGCGATATGTTCAAGAGGTAAAAAATATATCGTACAGAAGTGTCACAAAGGCGGAACTTATCGAAGTTAACTATAATTAGCTTCAGCGATGTGTGCAAGTTTATAGAAGATAGTGCAGGTAGAGATTAATATGAGAAAGACAAACACTAGGATACAATTACCAGCCTGCTGGAGTTGTTCACTCTTTGGCAATATAGGCACTTCCACCTCCAACCTGTAAATAGTTTGCCCTGCTCCATTTGTTGTCCAAAATTAGCTGTATAACTCAATCTCACAGCGTCGACCAGTCCAGTCTTATCTGATCGGTTGCAGCTCACCGAATTTTCTCAGGCTATTGTGACCTTACCGGCCATCGTTCGGAAGACTGAACGCTCGATAACTCTTCACACGAGAGCCGCGTTGACTTTTCCACACCAAAACAGTAAACCTTCTCCTTTCCGATCGTGTCGTTTCCTCGCTGCGGTCTCTGTTTTCGGTCCCTCTTCAATCTGACAGCGGAATCTCAGTGCCCTGCCATAGCTTAGTCTTACCTGGCCAGTCTGCTTCTGTGTCTTCTTCCAGACCACCGGGATATTAACGGTCTAAGCTCCGTAGATTCAACGCAATGTCTCCTGCACCTCGACAGCCTGTTGGACTTCTTCACCCTATGTTAATATAGCCACTTCTGTCTCTGACCTATTCAATCCTACTGACTCCATTTATTTTCCCTACTTAACTATCCGACTCAATCTAAATGCGCCGAATAATCTAGTCCCGTCCGCTCGGTCATTTTTGCTCTGACTCTTGTGACGTTGCTAGCCATTGCTCGAAAGACTAAACGCTCTGTCCCCATTACCTCAAGAACCATGTTAACTTTCCCATTTCTACTCTGTAATCCTTTTCTACTTCAAACCTGTCCGCTCTTTATCGCGCGGAAAGCGAGCTCTCAGTGCCCTGCCTTGGTCTCCTTTTGACCGCTTCCAGACTAACGAAATGTGAACGTTTTAGGCTCTGCATAACCAACACACAACTTTTCTGGCACTGCGAGCCCGCCTGACTTGCAGCGCCATACCCCATATACATATAGCCTCTTCCATCCCAAACCTGTCCATCTCTGCTGACTTTTATTTTTTTCCCCCATTAACAGTACAAATTAATCTCGATGTGTCGGCTAATCCAGTCTCGTCTGAACGATCTCCTACTCACCGAATTTTCTCAGACTACTGGGATATTACTGGCGATTGTTCAGGACTGAACAAGTTATACTCCCTCGCACGAGAGCATCGTTGGCTTTCCCACACATTAGCAGCAAAACTTTTCATCCTGACTGTCATTTCCTCACTGCGCTCTTTGTCTTCATTCGGGCAGTCAAATCTCGGTGCTTTTCCTTAACTAGCTTCATCTGGCTGGTCTGTTTCTCTGTAGCCTCTTCCAGTCCACAAGGATGTTAACTGTCTAGACTATGCTGACTCAATGATATATACATTACCTCAAGAATCTGCTGAACTTGCCCATGCAATGTCAAAACAGCTTCTTCCTTCTCCTTCCTACCATTTGCTGCTGATACTCTCTATTTTCTTTCCATTTTGTCGGTACGAATCAATCTCAATGCACCGACTAAACAATTGTCGTCTGATCGGTCTCTCTCACTTCGAGAGACTTGTCGGACCTAATCGCTCCTGTATAATATCGCCTCTTTGATATTTAACCTGTCTATTTCCACAGGCCCTCCCCAGAGTTGTTCTCACCACAATTGTACGACCCCAGCTCTGTGCTCCGACTAAACTATTCTTATCTGAACGGTCTTCTGCACTCCTACTAACCAAATGTCAGTGCCCTTTCCGACCAGGGTCTGACGGCGTCTTCGCTCTCTTCCACTTACGTCCAGACTCTTGTTGCTTTTATTTTCCTATTATCCATGGCCTTCTCTGTTATTGCGTTCCACTTTTATTCCCACGGCTTACACTCCTTGAGCCGAACCAAGTTATCCTCGTGCGTACGGTCCCCTCCGCTCAGACCTCGCTCCTGATTACTGGCGGCACTCGGAACTTTGGTGTTTCTTGCCTATTACTTCCATCAGTATTCTCACCTTACCTCCCTTCATTGGCCTCTGCTCTTTATCGCATGTTCGCAGTTGCGTCCTAATGGGACAGTACGCGGGATGACGACTACCAATGCACGGTAGTTTTTGCCCTCTGTGACCATTTTCTCTAGCTGCTGAGGACTTTTGGACTATGGAATTATGAGCGCTTTAGCGTTAATACTCTCACGAATTACTCTGCACTGCCGTCCGCATTCAACCGCTCCTCGCCGATTCTTTTAATTTCCTTTTCCTATTGGAACGTTGAGTTACCTACTGTTGCTCACGCATTCGGTCTCAATCTAATTGAACTTAGTTTCACCTAAGATACCTCTCGCATTCGGTCTGCTCTCATCATCATTGGTTTATCTGCTTCTCTCCAACCACCGTATTATTTGCCCAATTCTGTAAACATGCTTTGTTATATCGGTCTCTTGACCCTGTGCGTGCAGAAACTTTTCCTACATAGTAATCGTAGTCTGAACCACACCAGCGACGTGATGTAGAGAACGCGCTTACAAATCATGTATACTAAGCAAAAGTACATTGGTTGTAATGTAGCATAGGCAGCGTCGCGCGCCACCAGTCTTTAGATAGTGCTTTTTGAGTAAATGCTCTCTGTCTGTTTGGCTGCCACTTGTCCACCGTCCGTATTTTCCCGAGATTTCCAGGTACATCGTCCAAAATAAAAAGGGTTATCCACTGGGAATGGCCAAATCATTCTCAATAGCCAGCTGGCTTAAACACTTGATCCTTTCTCCGGGATATGAAGAACCCGCCCATCGTTAAAATGTAGCTTTTTTCGCGATTCTGGAAACGCCACTTTCCCGGTGTCTAAACAAACGGGTTTAGCTCGCCCCGTACTCACAGTATCACAATTTACTCACATGGAATAATATATTTACACGGATCCCTGTTCCACAACGGAAGACAAACAATGCTGGCGTGATCACCTTCACTGCCTCGGTTTGCTTTGCTTATTCTCACCGGCGTTCAACAAATTGGTTTCGGTGCCTTACGTTTCCGGAAGACCATTCCGATTGTCCATTCACCTGGAGCATTTCCGATGTCATTGCACGGACAGCTTTGTGCTCGTATTAGTGGCTTTTCCGATGGCCTTTCGTGGGGTTTTTACTTGACCGTGGAGACAATTACACTTACTCACATTTGAAGGAATTCCCATTCCATTTTTCGCAGTAAGAAACCCGTAACGATCCCGTATTGGACAAAGGAACGGCATTTTCGCCTGTCATGGACGTACTCAATCCCAAGAAACAACTGCACTCACCAGCCCCATTATGAGTCCAGCTTGGATAGCTGGACACGGTTTGCGTACCGGAGAAGTAGGTAACAGCAAAAGCCAGCCTCTATTAACAGTGCTTTTACTCACCTGCACCATTTACCA